CCCCCCCCCACCCCTTCCGTCTCTACTACGTAAGGCTCCTTTTCACCAATCGAGATCTTCTTCGTGTTCTTTGTTCAGGATATCTTCGGTTCAACTCGTCTCCTCGATAGGACCGACATTCGGCCCTCAGAATCGCTCCTTCGCTAACAACTCAACGGGTCTCCCAACAAATTCAGCGTCAGTACCCCACTTATTGTCCAAAATCGTCATCCAATATTTCTTAGTGTATAAGCCATGCTAGCTGCTGACTGCGAGTACTGCTCCGCTTCCCTCCTTTTTATGAGTTTTTGCTGGTAGCAAAAACGCACATTGTTGAGAGGTTGTCTCTCTGTGTGTACGTGTTCAGAAGCGAATGAACTTTGCCACCCACTTTCATATCAGCAACCAGGAAAGCTGGAAGGCTGAAATTTGGGGTGTATGCTCCAACCCCGTGTTTCATTCTCCCGTTTTAAAACTTTCGCTCATACGCGCCTAGACCCCGCGTACCCTCCGAAAAAATATGCAGATTTCTTTGGCGGGAAGCAATTTCGCGAAGCAAGCAAGGTGGAAAGCTGAAACTTTGCGGACATATTCTCAATGCATTTGCGAGCTAAAGATTTCTAAATCAGCTGTCGCGCACGCTTGTTCAGCGCGTATGATCACGTCAAAGTTTGCAACTTGGTACTGTGCTAACTCGAAAACTTGCCAGAAAACCATGGCTAAAATTTCGCCAGCATATTTAACGCCCATATGGAAAATTGTATATCTAAACTGAGTTCCGATTTGCACCTGCGCCATGAATTAGGGCACTTCAAAGATATTCGTAACGAAGTGGCTATTTCGCTTGCCGGATAAGATGCGAGGCTGTAACTTCGCTAGGATATTCTACTTTCAAGTGCTGTCTTAACTCTGCTTGGAAGTGAAATTCCCTGCAAGTGGTTACGAAAAATACTGAACTTTACTAAAAAATCAAAAAAGAGTGCGTTTTGTAACGAACAACTGCCCTCATCCAAACATGTTAATGAACATTTAGTTCAATTGCATAGTTGAATTTTTTGGACGGACAGCTGCTCTAGCATCGTTTGCACTTTTTAACGAAGAACATTTTCAAAAAAATTGCATTCTTGGTTTTTTCAAAAAGCGAGCATTTACCAGAAAAACAACCGAACTTCATGCAAATCCAAACTAGAACGCACCAGGTGAGCCGGTGCGGTCATGCGCTTTGTACTAAACTTGAAGTAATTAGGTTATCTGCATGAACGGTTGTTTCTTCACACCTACTTGTGCGCTCAATACCGTGGAATCATCGTAAACTTTGCATAAAAGAAAATGATTTCCGTCGAGCGGTTGCTTTTATTTGAAAATGATTCAGCTGTTCAATGAGAAATTTTCCCGCCAAAAATTTAAGTGTCGGTACACGAGAGCTGCGCATGCCTGAGAGCTGAATTTGATAACTTTAAGTCGTATATGGGCTGAAAGTTTCCCCCGAAAAAAAAAGCATTCCCTGAAAATTTCAGCTTCCCAGCTTTTCCAATTCCCGAGTTAGCCGTTTTCCCGCCGAAAAAGTTCATGGGGCCGTACATGAGAACCACGCAAAACTGGGGGTTCAGTTTGATAGGTTTATGTTGTACTTATGCTATGAACATTCCTTGAAAACTTCAGCCCCCCAGCTTTGATAGTTCCCGAGTTAACCATTTTCCAGGCAAAAAATTTCATGCGGCTTTACGCGGGAACCATGCACACCTGGAAGCTGAATTTGGAATTTTTGGGTTATTTATGGACGGAGAACATAACCTCAGAATTTCAGCCTTCTGTCTTTTCTCGTTCCCGGGTTATCAATTTTCCCGCCAAAACCTTCATCCCTCGTACGCGGGGCTCAGACTTGCATAAGGGTTGGCACCAGGGCTCAATGGTGGCAATTGGCCGGGGGACCTAATAGCAAAATCTTGGCGCTGGAACTTGCTTGGTTGCCGAGTTGAAATACCCATACGAACGAACACACACACAA